GGTTCAATAATAAAGGTCTTTTTTAATCTGGTGAATGTTTCAAAAGCTCTAGCATATATTGTTGGAATTGAATAATCATGACGAATGTAATATCTTAATTGGTTAGTTACGACGGCTATGTGTGAGTTAGGGGCGCATAACAGTTTGGCAATGGTGATTGAATTATTTTTTAATTTCTGTGCATTTCAGTTCAAAAACTACCAAAGGTCTTTTTTTTTAATTTCAGCGAATTTGGTTCAATAATAAAGGTCTTTCTTAATCTGGTGAATATTTCAAAAGCTCTAGCGTATGTTGTTGGAATTGAATAATAATGACAGACGTAACATCTTAATTGGTTGGTTATGACAGCTATGCGCGAGTTAGAGACGCATAACAGTTTGGTAATGGTGATTGAATTATTTTTTAATTTCTATGCGTTTCGGTTCAAAAACTACCAAAGGTCTTTTTTTTTTTAATTCCAGCGAATTTGGTTCAATAATGAAGGTCTTACTTAATCTGGCAAATGTTTCAAAAGCTCTAGCGTATGTTGTTGAAATTGAATGATCATGACGAATGTAGCATCTTAATTGGTTAGTTACGACAGCTATGCACAGGTTAGAGGCGCATAACAGTTTGGCAATGATGATTGAATTATTTTTTAATTTCTGTGCGTTTCAGTTCAAAAACTACCAAAGGTTTTTTTTTTTAATTCCAGCAAATTTGGTTCAATAATGAAGGTCTTTCTTAATCTGGCAAATTTGTTTAAAATCTCTAGTGTATGTTGTTGGAATTGAATGATCATGACGGACGTAACATCTTAATAGGTTGGTTACGATAGCTATGCACAAGTTAGGCATGCATAACAGTTTGGCAATGATGATTGAATTATTTTTTAATTTCTGTGAGTTTCAGTTCAAAAACTACCAAAGGCCTTTTTTTTTTAATTCCAGTGAATTTGGTTCAATAATGAAGGTCTTTCTTAATCTGGTGAATTTGTTCAAAATCTCTAGCATATGTTGTTGGAATTGAATGATTATGACGAATGTAATATCTCAATTGGTTAGTTATGACGGCTATGCGTGAGTTAGGGATGTATAACAGTTTGGTAATAGTGATTAAATTATTTTTTAATTTCTGTGGGCTTCAGTTCAAAAACTGTCAGAGGTCTTTTTTTTTAATTCCAGTGAATTTGGTTCAATAATGAAGGTCTTTCTTAATCGTTCAAAAACTTCTAACGTCTGTTGTTGGAATTGAATGATCATGACAGACGTAACATCTTAATTGGTTAGTTATGATGGCTATATGTGAGTTAGAAGTGCATAACAGTTTGGCAATAGTGATTGAATTATTTTTTAATTTCTGTTGGTTTCGGTTCAAAAACTACCAAAGGTCTTTTTTTTTTAATTCCAGCGAATTTGGTTCAATAATGAAGGTCTTTCTTAATTTGGTGAATTTGTTCAAAAGCTCTAGCATATATTATTAGAATTGAATGATCATGACGGACGTAACATCTTAATTAGTTGGTTACGACTGCTATGTGTAGGTTAGGGGCGTATAATAGTTTAGCAATGATGATTGAAATTATTTTTTAATTTCTGTAGGTTTCAGTTCAAAAACTACTAATGTTTTTTTTAAAATTCCTGCTAATTTGAATTTGTTCAAAAACTTGTCTGTTGTTGGAATTAATATTGCATGAATAATTCTGACAGACGTAATGATTAATTGGTTGGTTACATAGCTATGCATCAGTTAGGGATGTATGACAGTATTTTTAAAATAAATATATATTGACTAGGTTTAAAAATAACTAGAATGCAGGTTTTTTTTTATTATACATATAAAATTTTATTTCATTTGAATTTTGTATATGTTGTTAATAGAATATGTAAGATAATGTACATAATTTATGTATGATACTGTATAATAAAAGAATGATTGTGATAAATAATTATTATGTACAGTATATTGTTATGAAATAATGTTTAGTGATATTTTTAGATATAATTATTAATATTATAGAATAATACCTCTAGGTATGTATGTATTATCTTATAATAATGCAGATATTATTATATAGACATAATAATAAAATAATTTTAATAATTAATTGTATTGTTATTTAATTACAATAGTTATTATTCTTTATTGTATAATTTAGTAATTTAGTAATTATTTATATTAAATTTTATAATTATTGTTTTAATTTCTATTGTTTTAAATTTGTATATAATTTTATTGTATTAAATTTTTAAAATAAATATATTAATATAGTATTTAATATAATTATAAATTATAATTAAATATATAAACATGAAATAATTATTTGATATAATTTTAAAATAAATTAATTTTATTTATTAAAATTTAAAATTTATTTTACAAAATATCAAATTTTTATTTAAACAAAAATATTTTTGAAAAAACTCATAAAGATAATACTCAATTACAAACTGATCTTTCAAATTTGCAATTTCAATATTTAGATGAAGAAAATAATTTATCATCATTAGATAATTCTGAAATTTCTGAAATTCAAGAAATTTCTGAAAATGTTTTTTTAGAAAATGAAATTTGGACTGAAGAAGAACTTTCTAAATTTAAAATATTATATTATAAAACAAAAGATATTTTAGAAAAACCAGATAATGATAATCAAAAATTAGAAGAAGAAATTAATTCATTACAAAATAATGAATTTAAAAAATCTTTTGATAAACAATATTGTGAAAAAAATTGTTTACAAACTCAATGTGATTATTCAATAGCTTTGTTGCGATATTTAAATTTTAAAAATCTTTCTAAATCTTTTCAAGATATGTATTTATTAGGTATTATTGCTGCAACTAAACGACCAGAAATATTTAGAAATTTAAAAAAATCTAAACTTTCTACAGAATATATTTTTGAAGAAAAATTAATTTGTTTAAATGCATTTAAAACAATTTATGGACTTGGAGATACAAGATGGAAAAATTTAAAAGAATATTTTGCAGAAAATGATATTAATTTAAGAAAAAATTCTAAAACAGAAAAAGTAGGAAATAGAGCATTATCATTTGAAATAGTAATGAATGTTATTACTTTTATAGCAAATTATGCAAAACAAAATGGTTTACCTTCTCCAGGTATTTTGTTTAGATTAATTATAATTATTTGTTTTTAAATTTTAATTAATATTAATTTTTAGGTCGAAGTTTTCATAATAATACTAGTGCAATTATATATTTACTAGCAGATATAACTTATTCATCTTTGCATATTCAATATTTAGAAGCTATTAAAACTAATGATCAATATGGAGTTTCTTTAAATACATTTAATAGAATTTGGAAAAAATTTTTACCTTATATTAAAAAATTAACTCCTAGAAGTAATTTATGTTTAAAATACAAAAATATGCGATTTAATGCTAATTATTGAACAGTAGAAGAAAAAAAAGCAAAAGTATTAGAATGGTATCAACATATTGAATGGGTACATAAAGAAAGAAAAAATTATAAGTAAATAATTTTTATATTTATTTTTTATTAAATTTTAAAATATTAATTTATTTATTTAAATTTAATAGAAATTATATTAATATAGCATGTAATGATATTCAAAAATTTGGAATTAGTAACCTATTACGTCCTAGAAAACCTAATTCTTTAGATATTACAATTCATCTTTCTTGGGATTATGCACAACAAATTCAATTACCACATTCATCTCAACAAGAAGTAAGTTTTTATTTAAGTTTTTATATAAATTTAAATAATAATTTTATATTTTTTTTATTATAATTAGGGTGAAGTTTATTTTAAATCTTTATATAAAGTTCATTTATTTGGAATATGTGATAATGCATTTCCATGTCAAGTAAATATTTAATTTTTATTATAAATTTATTATAATATAAAATTAATTAATATAATTATAAAATATATTTTTAGGTAAACTATCTTATTAAAGAAAATGAATTAGTTGGTAAAGGAGCAGATACTGTTATCTCTTTAGTACATAATTATTTTGAATTACATGGTTTAGGAGAAAAAAACTTAGTAATTCATGCAGATAATTGTTCTGGTCAAAATAAGAATAATGCTATAATAGCATATTTAGCTTGGAGAGTATTAACTGGATTACATGATAGTATAACTTATTGTTTTATGGTTGTAAGACATACTAAATTTAGTCCAGATAGATTTTTTGGTCTTATAAAATTACTTTTACGCCAATCTTAAGTAGATAATCTAGAAGATTTAGTTAAGGTAGTTCAAAATTCAACTCCTGGTGGATATAATATTGTATAAACAATTTTTGATAATAATGGAAATCAATTAGTACATTTTTATGAATGGTTAGATTGGTTAAAACAAAAATTTACAACAATTCCAAATATTTTAAAACAACACTATTTTGAATTTAATAATTTATATCAAGGAAAAGTTAAAATTAGTACAACATCATATGAAGAAAAAACTATTATACAAATAGAAAAACCTAAACAAGCTAATTTTAATCAATTAACTGAAAAAAAAATACTAGGTTTAAGTGCTGAAAGATAATGGTATTTATATGAACAAATAAGAAACCATGTACAAAATCCTAGTAAAAAAGATGATCTTTGTCCAATGCCTACTATAATTAAACCAAAAAAATCCAAATAAAATAAAACAAATAAAAATATTTTTTTATTAAATACTGATATTTTATATACAAATTTTTTTTAAAAAAATTTATTATACTATATTAATTTATTAAATATTATAATTATATAAGTTACAAATTATAATATATAAAAAAAACTTCCTTAAACATATAAAACATTTAACACAAGAATTTATAAATATTATATAATATTAAATAAAAATTTGATAAAGTTAAAAAAATTTAATTATTTTGCCAAACTGTTATGCGCCTCTAACCCACGCATAGCTATCATAACCAACCAATTAAGATGTTATATCCATCATTATTATTCAATTCCGACAATATACACTAGAGCTTTTGAAACATTTGCTAGATTAAGAAAGACCTTCATTATTGAACCAAATTCGCTGGAATTAAAAAAAAAGACCTTTGGTAGTTTTTGAACTGAAACGCACAGAAATTAAAAAATAATTCAATCACCATTGCTAAACTGTTATACGCCCCTAACTCGTGCATAGCCATCATAACTAACCAATTAAGATGTTACATTTGTTATAATCATTCAATTCTAATACATACGCTAAAGCTTTTGAACAAATTCACCAGATTAAAAAAGACCTTCATTATTGAACCAAATCTGCTAGATTAAAAAAAAACCTTTAGTAGTTTTTGAACTGAAACCTATAGAAATTAAAGAATAATTTCAATCACTATTGCCAAACTATTATGTACCGCTAATTAAGATATTACGTCCATCATGATTATTCAATTCTAACAACATATAATAGAGCTTTTGAAAAATTCGCCAGATTAAGAAAAACTTTCATTATTGAACCAAATTCACTGGAATTAAAAAAAAAAGACCTTTGGTAGTTTTTGAACTGAAACTCACAGAAATTAAAAAATAATTCAATCACTGTTGCTAAACTGTTATGTGCCTCTAACCTGCATATAGCTATTGTAACTAACCAATTAAGATACTACGTCTGTCATGATCATTCAATTCCAACAACATATACTAGAGTTTTTGAACAAATTCACAAGATTAAGAAAGACCTTCATTATTGAACTAAATTCGCTGGAATTAAAAAAAAAGATCTTTGGTAGTTTTTGAACTGAAATATACAGAAATTAAAAAATAATTCAATCACTATTGCTAAACTGTTATGCACCCCTAACCCACGCATAGCCGTTGTAACCAACCAATTAAGATATTACATCCATAATGATCATTCAATTCCAACAACATACATTAGAGCTTTTGAAACATTCGCCAGATTAAGAAAGACCTTTATTATTAAACCAAATTCGCTGGAATTAAAAAAAAAAGATCTTTGGTAGTTTTTGAACCAATACGCACAGAAATTAAAAAATAATTCAATCACTATTGCCAAACTGTTATGCACCTCTAACCCGCATATAGCCATCATAACCAACCAATTAAGATACTACATCCATCATGATCATTCAATTTCAACAACATACACTAGAGCTTTTGAAACATTCACCAGATTAAAAAAGACCTTCATTATTGAACCAAATTTGCTGAAATTAAAAAAAAAGACCTTTGGTAGATTTTGAACCAAAATGCACAGAAATTAAATAATTCAATCACCATTGCCAAACTGTTATACGCCCCTAACCCACGCATAGCCATCTTAACTAACCAATTAAGATGTTATGTCTGTTATTATCATTCAATTCCAACAACATACGCTAGAGCTTTTGAACAAATTCACCAGATTAAGAAAGACCTTTATTATTGAACCAAATTCGCTGGAATTAAAAAAAAAGACCTTTGGTAGTTTTTGAACTGAAACCTACAGAAATAAAAAATAATTTCAATCACCATTGCCAAACTGTTATGCGCTCCTAACCTGCGCATAGCTATTGTAACCAACTAATTAAGATGTTACGTTCATCATGATTATTCAATTCCAATAATATACGCTAGAGCTTTTGAACAAATTCACCAGATTAAGAAAGACTTTTATTATTGAACCAAATTCGCTGGAATTAAAAAAAAAGATCTTTGATAGTTTTTGAACTGAAACTCACAGAAATTAAAAATGATTTCAATCACCGTTGCCAAACTATTATGTGCTTCTAACCCACGCATAGCCATCGTAACCAACCAATAAGATGTTATATCCGTTATGACCATTCAATTCTAACAACATATGCTAAAGCTTTGAACAAATTCACCAGATTAAGAAAGACCTTCATTATTGAACCAAATCTGCTGGAATTACAAAAAAAAACCTTTGGTAGTTTTTGAACTGAAACCTACAGAAATTAAAAAATGATTTCAATCACTATTACCAAACTGTTATGTGCCCCTAACCCGTGCATAGCTGTTGTAACCAACCAATTAAGATGTATGTTCGTCATGATCATTCAATTCTAACAACATACACTAGAGCTTTTAAAAAATTCACTAGATTAAGAAAGACCTTCATTATTGAACCAAATTTGCTGTAATTAAAAAGACCTTTAGTAGTTTTGAACTGAAATGCACAGAAATTAAAAAATAATTCAATCACTATTGCCAAACTGTTATATGCCTCTAACCTGCGCATAGCTGTCGTAACCAACCAATTAAGATGTTATATCTGTCATGATCATTCAATTTCAACAACATACGCTAGAGTTTTTGAACAAATTCATCAGATTAAAAAAGACCTTCATTATTAAACCAAATTCGCTGGAATTAAAAAAAAAACCTTTGGGTAGTTTTTGAACTGAAATCTACAGAAATTAAAAATAATTTCAATTACCATTGCCAAACTGTTATGTGTCTCTAACTCACGCATAGCCATCGTAACCAACCAATTAAGATGTTACATTCGTCATTATTATTCAATTCCAACAACATACGCTAGAGCTTTTGAACAAATTTGCTAGATTAAGTAAGACCTTCATTATTGAACCAAATTCGCTGGAATTAAAAAAAAGACCTTTGGTAGTTTTTGAATTGAAACCTACAGAAATTAAAAAATAATTCAATTACTATTGCCAAACTGTTATGCGCTCCTAACCCGTGCATAGCCATCATAACCAACCAATTAAGATGTTACATCTGTTATGATTATTCAATTCTAACAACATATGATAGAGCTTTTGAAAATTTCGCCAGATTAAGAAAGACCTTCATTATTGAACCAAATTCACTAAAATTAAAAAATAGACCTTTAGTAGTTTTTGAACTGAAACTCATAGAAATTAAAAAATAATTCAATCACCATTGCCAAACTGTTATGCACCCCTAATCCGCGCATAGCTGTCGTAACCAACTAATTAAGATGTTACATTTGTCATGATCATTCAATTCCAATAATATACACTAGAAGTTTTTGAATGATTAAGAAAGAACTTTATTATTGAACCAAATCCACTGGAATTAAAAAAAAACCTTTGGTAGTTTTTGAACCAAAAACTACAGAAATTAATAACATTCACTTTTGTTTGCCAAACTGTTGTGTGCCCCTAACTCGCACATAACCATTGTAACCAACTAATTAATTTGTTACATCCATAAAGATCCATTCATTCGTGGTAATTGTTGAATCCAATCCACAGATTTTAAGAGCATTATAGCAGTTCTTTATTTCGAGTTTAAAAAAGATTTTCATACTTGTTTTTTTTTATTGTGCTAAACCACGAGTTTAAGAAAGGACATAGTTATTAGAAGCTTTAAATAAATCTAAACTAAAAAAAAATTTATTATGAAATCAATCTACTAGATTTAAAGAATAGAGAGCGATAATGATAATTTAAAGGCAAGAATTGTTACATACAATTGGTCAGTGATTTCAGTGATTTGAAATTTCTAGAACTGTGAATGTTTATTTTTAGATCATAATTTTGGATGATCACATGGTAAGCCGCATTTTTTAAATCTAATTTACTCAAAATTGTTTATATGTAAATATGGGCTGTTTTAATTGGGAACACCCCATATATGCCTATCTAATACTAGACAACTTCTGAAAGTACAGAATCTTTCAATAATAAATTAGAAAATATATAGGCTATAAGAACTAAAAGTATAGCATATACATGATCTTAATTAAGATATGACAAAAAAGATCTAAAAAGATGGAAGAATATATATCTAACCTTGAGAATAGTCAAGTAAAATTCAAAGCTAGCATTCAAGAAAGGAAAGATAGAATTAAGTCTCTTCTTAGAGAAGAATTTCCACAAAAACTGATTTGAAAAATCAACAGAATTAGAAG